CCCCCCCCCGCATGCATGCACTCGCATTCTATCTCAAATAAATAACACAAATGAATAAACAGACAAATAGTTAAATAAATAAATGAAAATATTCTAGCTCAATTAAGGAAATTGACCTTGTTTGTATTAGTTTTATTTTTGTTTTTTCTTGTATTACTTTTATTTTGATTTAAGACTGTCTATCCAAAGCTTGAAAGTTGTTTACCAAAACCTTTTTTTTGATAGATTCTATTGTTATAAAACAAACTTATAGATACTAAGATTATTAGTGATCTATTATGGGGTATAGGTAAATATAAACAAGTATACACAGTGTTTTTATTTTACTAAATTGATATTGAGGTATACAAAATAAGTTTAATATTGGGAGATAATTTCCTGTTGAAAAATAAAGCACTTTGGGGCTTTAAATTGACTGTATCCTGGATTTTGACAGGATATGAATATGAAGTGATACCAGATTTCCTCAACTGAAACACCTGATATACTTTTGATTTGTTTTATGTTGTAAAGCTATGAAAAATACAAAGCTATGAAGTACTAAATCCTTTAGTTTTACTAGCAGTTGATTTATTTAATCAGGTTCTTTTTTCTCCCCTGTTTCTAGAAAAGTGTGATTGCCTTACGACAACTCATGCCCAACTCCCAGAGCTTTATTCAGCAGTGTGTTCAGCAGACCTGTAGTGAGGTTGTCATTGCTACCTGTACCACAACAGCAGCCACTTCTCCCGTGGTGACAACAACAGTTTGCTCCATCCAGCCTGAAAAACCCATCATTGTTTCTGGAACAACAACAGCCAGCACCGTGTCAGTGCCAGCTCTGAATCCACTTGCTGGCCCAGGGGGAGCAAAACCAGGAGTTGTGACACTTCATTCTCTGGGTCCACCTGCTGCACCAGGAGGAACAGCAGCTGGAACGGTTTTGCTTCAGACTCCAAAACCACTGGTGACATCTATACAGAACACAGTCACAGCAGTCTCCCTCCCACCTGAGAAGCCAGCTGTCTCTGGGGCAGCAGTCACGCTGGCTCTCCCTGCGGTGACTTTCGGAGAACCTTCGGCAGCAGCTGTCTGTCTTCCGTCTGTGAAACCTGTCATGACCTCTGCTGGGACCACATCTGACAAGCCTGTCATTGCTCCAGTCCAGATAAAACTTGCACCACCAGGCCCCGTCCTTTCTCAGCCGGCTGGTATTCCACAGGCAGTTAAAGTCAAACAACTAGTGAGTAAAGTTCATTTCTTCCTCAGTTTCTTCTTTTGAAAATTTCAAACATTCAGAAAACTGGCAAGGCTAGTAAAACAAGCCCCTGAGTATCCTTGACTGGCCTCACACTTATTACTGTATGTGGAAAGTTAGTGTTGGTACAGTTATTTTCCTAGTTGTGCCAACAGTGTCCTTTACAGCTACTTTTTTTCTGATAGAGAACTGCCTGTTACATTCACCTGTCTTTTCTCTTTAGGCTCCTTTAATCCAGAACAGCTCCCCAGCCTTTCATGGTTGCTCATTATCTTGTAATAGTTTAAGTGCCCAGGCTAGTTGTTTTGCAGAATGTCCTTTGTTATGTCTAATTGTTTCCTCAAGTTAAGATTCAGACTAAATCTTTTTGACAAGGTTATTACAGAGGTAATGTTATGGTAACAGTTCTCAAGAAAAATATGCTAAGAGGGGAGGGAAACGGTGAGGGGAATAGATGAGTATGAAGCTGTGTTTTTTCCTAAACTTGGTAGGTTAGGAGGTTCTTGGATGAAAGAAACCTTAGCTATTTATCAATTAGTGTTGTTAACACTTAGAAATAAAACTGTCAGTTATTTTACCAGTTTATTTGGGAATAGCAGAGTATTAGATTCAGGACAAGCAAGCTGTGGCAAAATCACAGGCACATCTAGAGAACAGAAGAGAATGGCCTTGTATAGAGGAAAGGAGGAAGTTGGAAAAGGCTGTTATAATCAAAAGTCCTTTGGAGTAAACACAGTTCGATGTGTAGTAGCTTCTCCTTGGCTGAGTTGTGACAGTCTCTCTCATCGGGTGGGCTGTTGCTGGGCAAGATGAAAATCTTTCTTCCTCCTGCAGTCGTAGTAAAGGATAGGTTTCTTCCTGTTCAGAATGCAAGGTACCTCTCTTTGTGTTGGGGTCTGCAGCTGATGACTAGTTGTAGGGTGTGAGAGGTTCCCCTTTTGTTTTCCTAGCTCATTTTCATGGGGCTTCCCCTTATTTTCAGTGTTTAGAACATTTTAGTTGATTCAAGACAGATGGTGAGAGTATTGTTAATAACCTGTGGGAGATAGTACATGGTCAGTTAAGAATCACGTTTCTTGGGGTGCCTGGGTGGCTCAGCCGGTTGAGCGTCTGACTTCGGCTCAGGTCGTGATCTCAAGGCTTGTGAGTTTGAGCCCCACATTGGGCTCTGTGCTGACAGCTCAGAGCCTGGATCCTGTTTCAGATTGTGTGTCTCCTCTCTCTCTGCCCCTCCCCCACTCATGCTCTTTGTGTCTCTCTCTTTCTAAAATAAACATTAAAAAAATAAATAAAATAAAAATTATTTTTCTTTTTGCTTACCTTATACTGTAATACCTGTTACACTAGCTGTTCTAGTATAGTGTTGGTAATTGCCCTTGTTTTCTTTTATAAATCTTTTTGTTAAAGGCTGTGTGTTGAATCTCTTTGTTTTAGTTTTTATTCTGCTTCTAGGAATAATTAAATCCAAGTAAATTTACTAGCCTTATATGTGTGATCAGGAGCAGAGGTTAGTATCTGTGGATGATTGTCTTTGAGGCAGAAGGTAGCAATGGGTGTAAGATGAAAGAAGGAAGATCAATATGGACAATCAAACTCCTGAGTAGGTAGGAAGTAATAGCCATTTCCTGGGTGCTAATCTTTTTTTCATCCCTTCCTACTCAGGGTCTGATTTTCAAATAAAGAAATGTGCCTGCCTTGCAGGGTTTCTCTTGGGTTGTCTGAATTTAATCTCAGACTTTAAACCTTTTTAGAAGCAGTGATTCTTAAACATCAGTCTGAGCAGCCAGCTTTGGGAACCACTGAAACAGAGTAATTGCCTCAAGGAAAGGCCTGTTTTTGGTAGCACTGAACAGAATTGAAATCCTCTTTACAGGTCATAAGCGATTCTTGAATCAGTGCTAATCTTTATTGAACATTTATACTATTATTAGTTCCTGAAGTGAAATAACACTTTATAGCTATGTAGAATTTTAAAAGCATGTCATGTATTAACTATGGGTTTTAAAATAATTTTGTGATAAAGAAAAGGCAGTGAGAAAACTAAGACTCTGGAAACATTAAGTGACCCATCCACTGGCACTCAACAAGTATTGGATCTCAGACTAGAACCTAGTGTCTTTCCCATTAGAGTATGGTACTCATGGCAAGAACTTCTAGGTTTCTAGAGTCTCCTGAAACAGAAAAGTTATGTGGTAATAATATCTTGATAGCATTTATGTTTTGTAGGTTTGACTTGTTATACATTAGGAACAATTTCAGTAAAGAAAAAATGTAACAGAAAATCCAGTGGATGGTGCCTGGCTAGCCCAGTACTTGGAGTATGCAGCTCTGGATCTCAGGGTTGTGAGTTGGAGCCCCACGTTGGATACAGAGATTACTTAAAAACAAAATCTAAGAAAGAGAGAGAAAAAGAATGAATGAATCCAATGGTAAATGTTAGGGATTTTTTGACTTACTACTTTCATTTGTATAATGTGGAGTATTTGAATTTTTCTTGTGAATTCTGCTTTCTTGTTTTAGCCTTTGTTTGTTTACATTTTTTTTTTTTTTTTTTTAAGTAGGCTCCATGCCCAATGGTGGGGCTTAAACTCAGGACCCTGAGATTGAGAGTTGCATGCTCTACCTACTGAGCCAGCCAGGCACCCCGTTTGGCCTTTGTTTTAATTTTACTCAACACATTTGATGTCAGTATTCATACCTTCATATTTAAAAATGACAAACACTAGAGCAACTAGACACTGAAGATGCATTGTAATCTGTTTTGTAACACATTTTTACCTGGGGCACAAAACAAGATAAGCCATTCTGTATGGTATTGCCACAGAGAGGACTGAACTAGGATATTTTTTCAAATTAATGTGGAAAATTAATATTTACTAAAGTGTTTATTAGTATTAGGTGAGCCCATTTTAAACCATTGTCCAATTTAATCCCAGTTAGGTGAGAAGGAAAATAGGATGCTAGAAACATAAGAAAGTATTCACTGCAGCTTATAAGAAAGATGGCAAATAATAATTTAAGATATGAGAATTGCCATACTGGATCAAATCTGTGGTCTGGGCAACTCAGGATGTAGTCTCTAAAAATGAGCTGAAGAATGGGGCACCTGGGTGGTTCAGTTTGTTAGGCATCAGACTTCACCTTGGGTCATGATCTCACAGTTTGTGAGTTTGAGCTCTGCTTGAGGCTCTGTGCTCACTGTGCAGAGCCTGGAGCCTTCTTCAGATTCTGTGTCTCTCTCTCTCTGCCCCTCCTCTTCTCACATTCATGCTCATGCTCTGTGTCTTTCTCTTTCTCTTTCTCTCAAAAATAATAAACATTAGGGGCGCCTGGGTGGCTTAGTCAGTTAAGCATCCGACACTGGCTCAGGTCATGATCTCATGGTTCGTGAGTTTGAGTCCCATGTCAGGCTCTGTACTAATATCTCAGAGCCTAGAGCCTGCTTCGGAATTTGTGTCTCCCTCTCTGTCTGCTCCTCCCCTGTTTGCACTCTGTCTCTCTCTCAAAAATTAATTAAACATCAAAAGAAATTTTAAAAATATATAAATAAACGTTAAAAAAATTAAAAATGAGCTGAATGCAAGTATTGCTGTTCAATGTTAGTTTTTAAATTTGTTTATTCCCTTTAATAATTGATTGTGAATTTTAAAATTCCTTTATACTTTATCTGTTTCTAGCATTTCTACTAATTTTTCTGGAAATTGTATAGGTTTCCTGCTTTCTAGATGTTTTCTATATCCATGCTTTTGAGCTATAAGAATCCTCTTAATCTCCCATTGCAGGGTTTAAATTTTATAGAATTATTGCTTTATGAAATTACACATTTTTATCCCAGATTAAAGAGGCCCTTCCCCATTTTTTTTTAAATTTAGATTTATTACTATATGTTATCTTTTCTATCTCATTGATTATTGTATGTTAACCTCTGGGGATCTGCTTAAAGTTCTCATCAGAAGAATTGACTTGTTCACAGCTTCCGTAGATGTAAGTTTTTCATTTTGTGCCAGTAGTTCATTGCTTTGTATATTTTAGTCCTCAAATGCTTGAATTATTGAAATGTGGACCTAATCAGTAGTTCTTTTGATTTCATCTGAGAATCTAGTTTTTATAAATGTTAATGTTATTATCTATTAATTCTAGCATAGCAGGTGTTAAATGATGTTACACACTCTGACTAAATGTTAAGCTTAACGTTTTTACCTTTAAAGTTAGTGAAAGAGAGTGGATGATGATACGTAGTATAGTCTACTGATGATGGATACGTAATAAGTAGAAGCTTTCAGAAGTTTCAGCACTTAAACAGTTTTCTTAGGATATTTGTGAAAAAACCGTTTTACTCATAATTGAGCAAAAGCTAAATTTAATTTAAAGTATAATTTAAATTAAATTTAAACTTAATTAACAAAAGGTAATTTAATAGAGAACTAAATTTTAATTTCAGTTTGGTCATTTTAAAAATTAAATTTGATATATTTTAATAACTAATTTTACCATATAAAAATTAAACAATGTCTCTAAAGTCCACAACATGTATGAATAAAATTCACGAATGAGAAAGTTAATTCAAAATTCCTGGTCTGTATTTTTAGGGAAAAGACAAATGCTGATAATTTTAGAGAGCAAACTGAATGTTGCCACTCTTAGTAGTAATATTGTATTATATGTTGTTAGTTCAATATCTTTAAAAACAGTTTACACTTGGAGATAGGGCAGGAAGCTTTTATATTATCTTGGATATTTTTCTTATTTCAAATATATATTTCCCCGAGCACCTGGGGTGGCTCAGTCTGTTGAGCATCTGACTCTGGATTTGGGTTCAGGTCCTGATCGCAGGTTTATGGAATTGAGCCCTGTGTCATGGAACCTACTTAAGGTTCTCTCTCCCTCCCTCATTCCCTCCCTCTCTCCCTCTGTCCCCTCTCCCTTGCTTGCACATGGGCATGTGCATGCGCTTTCTCTCTCTCTCTGTAGAAAATATGTATATA